CCTTTTGTGAAATAATATTTCGCCCCTTTTAACACTCCCCCCCCCCCCCCCCCCCCCCCTCCTCCTCCGAATTCATAATAACTACGGGTCATTTCACTCCATAATCGCCCTGCCACGTTCTCGCCTTGCTCAATATTTGGCTGTCACTCGTTTTCTCTGCGATCTGGCCCATAAATTAAACTCCTGCTTCCGAGGGCCAAGCCAGAGAGAGCGTGGCTCCGGGATCGTGCCCATCGTTTATTCAACCCATCACATCACATCGCATCGCACTCAATTTCTCTAGATAATTAATTATCTTCCACCTAATACATAATTCCCCTTGACTTATTTCCGATAATTTCTTTCATTAATTCCATCCATCCATCCGTTCGTTTATTTCGTCCCTCCAAGCCTCAGTCAAGTAAGTATACGTGCGCATCATGGCCAATACTCGGCAGGCTTCAAAACGGAGCCGCGTCCTCAGCTTCACGAGCAATAAATCTGGGAGAACACATAAGAGCAGCGGGTCAGGGTCCAAGATGGATCTTACAGAGACACATGAGGAAAAAGAAGCAAAGCGAATGCATACGTACGCCGACCCGACTCGTGCCATACAGGAGTTGCAGCCATGTAAGTTGTCCGTCGCCTTCCAAGTGGTGGTGTTGCGAACTACAGACGATGTCTTCGACGAAACGTTCCAAAAACATCCATGGATAGAAAGGAGGACAGTGTAGTATTAACTGCATTATTAGCCCGCTATTCGTTGCAGAAGTCGAATCTGGAGTCGTTGCGATCGATACAACACAAGGATATCTATGGGAATCTAATCAGTGAGAAATATCTCAAATCTCCTCCTGTTAAACACACACATATATATCATATGCTTCTCAATTGTTCGTTGTGCTTGTCGCAGTTCGTTCTCTATTAACAGTGGAATTTCTACTATATACAGCTGATCCCGACCTATCGAATCCTACACGACATCGGTTTGAGCGTCCACTGGATACAATCCGTTCGTTCGAAGCAGCCATTGACGGAAGCTATATGAACCGGAGGGCTTCATATGTTCGCGGAGGTAATTTTACCCCTCCCCCGCCATTTCCCCCTCGAAAAGTTATACCCCAAGTTTTATTTTTAAAGGGTGGTAAAGGATTAATCGTCTCATGATTTTTTTAGATGAAAGCACAAATGGCGGCTACAGCCGACGAAGTAGCTACTTTGGAGGTATGTTATCTTACACTTCTTATTCCCATACGATTATATCTCTCTCTCTCTCTTTCTTTCTTTCTTTTTTTTTTTTTTTTTTTTGGTCTCACACTTCCAACCCTACAACTTCTCCACCCTTCACCCCCCTATAGGTCCCGCCAACACTGACCCCACCCGAATTTAGACCGCGGAACAGCAGCTGGAGGACCCAGCCATCAGAACCGCGGCTACAACGAACAGGCCAATTACTCCACCCAGCCCCCTAGCCAGTCAAGACCAGACAGCTATGTTGAAAGCAACAATGGCGGCGGTGGCGGGAATTATAACGAACACAACAATAATGGCTACTATGGCAACTACGGCAGCAATGGTAACAATAGTAATAATGGGTACCAGCAACGTGTCCCTCCCCACGGAGGGCGACGTATGAACCCCGATCAGCAGATGCAAGGCCACAACAGTAATAGCCCGGTCTACCACCAGTCGCCGGGTGGACAGCAATATGCGCAAGATGAGAATTATTCGTCAGAACAAATGGCAGATTACGGAGAACCCAGCTCTGCAGGCGGAAACATGGAAGACGGCATGCAGTACCAACAGCATCGACAACAACAAGGAAAAGGCCAAGGCCAAGCTGAGCAAGCTGAGACACAGGCAGAAACATACGGCTTCTCCGGCTTCGCCAGCACGCCGGATCTCGACTACCCACCACAAGTTTCCTCTGCGTCGAATCATGGATACTATCAGGGCCCTGTCGATGGCTACAATAATGGTGGTAGCAGCCAGGCGTTCACAACTCCAAATGTATCGAGGAATGATGCCAGTGGTGCGGGTGGACCGGGGTTAAATGTTGGGTCATCTGTCATGCGGAAACCGGTTGGGGTCGTGGCTTCAGCGCAGGCTGCTGCTGCGGCACCTGCTGCGGCTCCGGAGAGGAAGAAAAGTTTCTTTAAGCGGTTTAGTAAGTCTTGATTGGCTGAGCTTGGCTGGGTGGTTGCGAAGTTATCGATTGTTATGGGTCCCTATGGTATGGTATGTTGGGGTCGGGTTAGGGGTAAGGCGACCTTTTACCCCATGCCTACGAAGATGTTCCAGGGTTGCCACGGGGTGCGTATCCATCGATCATCACACGCGCAAGTAGGGATTTTAG